TTTAAATCTATTTTGCCAGAATTGTCGGAACTCTCGTTCATGGGATTTCGTCTAAAAACTTTTGCTAGTAAATCAGTTAGTGATCCAGTACCCGGAATATGCAATTACACTTGTACAAATAAAATAATATATGCATACCAGGGACATCACACAGAATCACAGTGAGTCACCAGAATCACAGTGAGTCACTAGAATCATAGTGTCATCAACTAATCTCACTGGTGGATCATCAACTAGGGGGCGGATAAAGGAAAAAAATGTAACGCATGCGAAAAGTTTTAATTAATGTAAAATAATTAATCGCACGCGTTCCGCTTTCTTAATGAATGCTAAGGCCTTTGTCATTACGCCGCATTATTTCGAACCCATAAAATAGTTATCCTTCAGATGTAGTAAAAAAATTCATTGCTTACGTGCGTTCCATTTTTTAATATATGCGAAGACGTTCACAATTACAGCACCCCTTAACACGCATTAACATGTGGAACGCGTGCAAAGGCATGACAGATATTCACTGCCTGTGTGTGTTCGACAAGTTTTTTAATGTATGTAAAGGCGTTTGTAATTACATTGCACTCCTTTAAACGCATTAAAAACCTTCATTTTAACGCCCTCGGATTTTTTAATGCGAACTAATAACCTTCTCTTGACACATTCTAAGCCTTCCGAAGGCTTAGTTTTGGCAACTTTTAGACAAAATAAGGCGTTCAGAGACATTTTTGGTATAAAATTCAGATTGTAAGGCTTCGGTATATTTATATATAATATAATATATTTTCTAAAATTTACAATCTGTTTTATTCTAATTTTAGCTTTTATCTAACAAACTTGTTGTGTTTTCATAGTAATGGTGTTTTTCAAATCAATTCGCCTGGTTGATGCTAGTGCAAAATATGGTGATGGTCAAAGAATGATGGTAGCTAACGAAGTCATTGAAAAAGGCGAAAAGATATGGTGGTGTACATGTGGTGATGATGATGAAATATTGTCGCGTGATGAAATATTAACGTTATGTGTTGATTATCCACATTTGAAAAAATTTCTCTGCTGGTATTCGTATATGATTGCTGATGATACATACTGCATACCAAAGACATATTGCGAACAACGAAATAACGATGAATGCTGTTTATTCAATCATTCTTGTGAACCAAACTGCGGTATGTATTAATGTCGTTCCTTCAATCTATCTGATTGTAATTTGTTTTTTTGCCTCTGTTTTGATATTTTAGGTTGAAAACCATTTTATTCAACATTCCGATGTGCCAACGTGCTTTGTTAATCATAAAAAAGAAGTAAATGCGAAAAGAAGTAATGTACGATAGTAATCTACTACACCTTAACTATATTGCCTAATACTATAGCATAATAATGTCTCAGAAATTTACTATTATTCATTCTCCAGTATTTTATAATGAAAACAATAGTTTTGCAGTTTTTTTGGCGCACTTGATGTTAAACACAAGTGAAATTCGTCGAAATGAGCAATTGACACGATATATGGTTATTTCACGTGTTAAGAAGTGATTCTGTACTAACAAAACTAGTTGACCTTAATTAGAGTGAACAAAAACATCACAAACTTGATTCTACCACAATTATACCGAAGAAGAAAAAAAAGACCTGTATAAAGTTTCTTCTTTTCTTTCTGCTAGAGCTGAAAAACTATAAAAAGCAATTCAGTTGTTGAGGCGTCGTCCATATTTATTCATTGTTGATTTTTAGAAAGTGTTGTTTATTTTATTTCACTTATCTACAGTTTTTCAGTCAAATAGGCCATCAAAATGGATAATTCAATGTCGGCATCATTATTTCAATCAGATGTCATTGGAAGGAAAATGAAAGACAATAATAAAGTAAGATTTTTTCAATCTTCTTTTTCAAACAACTAAGCCCAGATTGGAGCGTAGGCAAAGTATGTATGATGAACGCTCTTATCTAAAACTTTGGTTTAGACATAATCTGGGGTATGCTTTCACTAAATATGCGGTAACATAGAAAACTTTTCTTAAATTTAGTTAAGTTCAGAAAAATAAAGCATGCGAACATTTTCACTTTAATTCACATCACACAATATCTCCAGCTACTTATGGACGACGTCTGAAATTAGAAGAAAGATGAATAGGAACAAAAGCATCTTCAGGCTTGTTTATAATTACTCGTTTTAGATGAACATGAAAAGGCTACTTGTAGAGTGTGCTCTGTTATAGATCTTATAATGCCAAGTGGCACATTAGGGCACGTCAAGGTCGGTTGAAACTCGCAGCAATAATAGTCCTGAGCAACGCTCGTGTGCTGCAAAAATTTCCAATCTTAGTCTCACATTTACATAGTCTGAAACCTAAATGTCAACCTACCGCTCTTACTCGATTACGATAACCTACTGATCGGTTCCGTTGATGCTAGCTAACTAGGTAAATGGTACACCCATCAAGTGAATAACAACGCGGTCATGTAGTTAATGGAGCTAGATTCTATCGAGCATTTTTGCTTTAGCAGATGTAAGGTATTGAACACTTCTAAAGTAGTCTAGTTCATACAATTTTATTCATAGATTATAAATATCAAGTAAATCATTTACTTGAAATATCAAGTAAATTTACTTGAGAATAGTGAAAAATATTCTTTTACTTCTAAAGATTTCTAGAAAGCCTTTTCAAAGACCAAGTATTTTGGGTTGATTTTTAAAGCTTTTATGGTATAGTGTAGATAAAGTAGAGTATATGTTGATATTCTGACATAATCTGGATGAATCTTCACTGGTTTATGAATTTTCAATTTTAGACAAAAATAGGCAAAATGAGATTATTTCATCTAATATAGGCTTTCACTAGGTTTTTGAGGCCTTTTGGGAAAGCAAATGTTCTCACGAGGCTCAGCGCGGTCGATTACCCATCTTTCCATGCGTTTTCGGAATTCCCACAACTAAAGAAATATTGATCCAAAGATTCTCAGAACTTACACGCCGCGTGGTAGTTCTGAAGTTTGTCTAGTACGTTCTGCTGTAATGTTTGGTCTTTCATGTGACGGATTTAGCCCACGACAAATCAGAGGAAGAAGGAGTTCACAATCACCGACATACAAGAATATTCTAATTCTGTTAGTTCGCTCTTGGGGTATGTGGGATACTGACGGAAGAGAATACTTGGAAAATATGGAATTTTATAGGGCGAACAATCTGCTTCTATAATGGGACTGGCATCTTCAAAAATATCAGAATCGAGTAAACATGTACCGTTGTTGCATGAAATTGTATTGTTGTGTTTATCATAACAGATTAAATTAGTTACATCCAATGGATTATAGAGTTCAGCTAAAATTTGCTCTAGTAGTGGTTGATTATCAATTAATACTTTAGCTATAGATTTTGCATAGATCATAGCACAATCGTTTCCAGTTGTACATTTGAATATCTTTCTCATGTTAAATTCTTGTCCATCGAATTGAATATTTATAAATTGATTTATCGTAGTATCGAATAAAACATTTTGTGAATATTTATCAACATCATAGGCTATCGTAACGAGTCGTTTATTTAAATCGATTATGAGAATAGTATTACAGGCAAAAGCCGATATATTTCCTTTTAGTTTACTTTTCGTGAAGAAATAGTCGTTTGTCTGATCACCGTTAGAAAATCAATTAGTTAGCATTGATTACAAATTCTTGAATTAATAGATTAATTTTTTTTCCAATTTGCGAACTAAATGTTGATCATCATTCAATTTTCTACCATCTAATGTAAAAATAAAATCTTCCTGTTTCATGTGACGTCCGTGCTGAAAGCCCTATGTATTAGATGCAAAATTCCGATTTTCAGAAAATCTGACTTTTAGAAAGCGTTTCGGAAAACCACTAAAAAGTAACTTGAAAACTTTTTAAGGAGATCAGATCGATAGAATTTTTTACAGGCTATTTTTTCATGTATTTGATTACAGTAAAATGTGATTATTTTTGACACCCATGAAAAGATTTTCTTGATATGTTTTAGTAAAATTTTACCAGAACGTTTTTAGTGATGTGTAGTTTTTGAATTTTTTCTCAATGAAGTTTTGCGAGAGAAAGTTTTGTTTGATAAATAATGTTTTTCTTAACAACTGTTGATTTTGAAATTCTCGCTTTTTTCAGGTTTTCGTTCTCTCGAGTACATTAGACATTCAACTCTCCAAACTCTATTTTACCATTTTGTATACACTGAACTATTCTTAGTCAAATGAAACGCAGAAAGTCTGAAAAAAGTCCAGCAACTTGTATTACAGGTGCTTCAACAAGAATAAGTCACATCTACAGCACCGTATCTTGAAGTTTTAAAGTATTGTCGATCTTTCTTTTTATTTACCATCAACCTTAATGTATCATCGACTTTTTTAATTTAAGCAACACAATATTCAAAACAACATTTAATATCATGAGCATTCAAGATATTGTTACCACAATTCAAATTCGACTTGAATCGCATTTTTGCTGCAGAGCTAAACGATCGGATATAGCTTTTCCACGCTACACTTCGGAGTAATTACGTTTAAATACTTTACTACCAATTTTTGCTCACACAGAACGATTTCTGGTCTAGATGCTGAATAGTCTCTAAATTCGCTGGCATTACCTGACCGTTTAGGCAATTTTTTGATATGTACCTGTTCTTTGATTAATTGTTTAGCCGTTAAATGGCCATCCACAGTATATCAAACTCATTTTGATTACATTGTGTCAGTGCCAGCATGTATGTTTCCCTGGGTCGATTCTGATTTGTACGATAGAAACTCAAAGTCATATATATTTTGGTGGCTGTAGATTTTCGAATACAATGCCTGATATGGATCCAAATAAAACAAATGCGAGTAAAGCACAGTCTTCAACAACGAAACTTCTGCCGTCAGCGATACCAATTGTCCGATGACATCACTATCATCTTGGTTAGAGTTCAAAAACATAAGACAAAATAACTGAATGTTTTTGATTACATCTTTTGGCACAATGGATGATTGAGAAACAAAATTAACGTTTGTTTATTCGATGAACAAGTGTACATTCGACTTGATTGATAAAACAGCTAGTAATTGTGCTTTTGATTTTGTCATCCTCACATAATATACCGTTCATATCAGAAGCAACTAGTAGCGCTTGCTTTTGCATTTTTCGAATCTCTCTCGAAGATAATAAGTAAAGATTTGACGGTAATACATAATAGTCATCAGACTCTTGGATCACAGAAGATGAAAACATAATATTTCGGTGAATTGTATCGAAGAAGCAAACATTCGTAAAAGTGACGGAAAAGGTTAGTATAAAAAAACATCGAAAAACGTTTTCGAAAAATTCAGCTCCCTCTCAATATATAACTATACCATTTTGTTTGAGAACCATCAGATAGTAAAAAATGATTGCTACACTTCCATTTCTATTTGTACTATTTTTCATAAAATGAAGAGAAAAAATAATTAGAAGGTATAGCGGTAGGAATAATAAAGTAAAATAATTTGTATAAGACCGCAACAAAATACATATTAAGAATTTTAACCAAATTCAATAATTTTATTTGCCGATTTCGAGCTTTCGGTACTGATTCGTATCATTGTCAAGAAACAAATGACAATAAAACAATTTACATTCTTTGTATAACCCAAAATGTGACTCTTTTGCTATTTGATATATCGGAAGAACAGAAAAAGATAGAAAATACCCTGTTATTCGAATAACAAGTTCAAAGAACTTTACATTGCCCACAAAACTGTCCGCCACGGAGGACTTTATTTATATTATTCAAAGACTTTTAGTTTGTATTTCGTATCATTAATTGATTTACCATATGCAGACTGAATATATAAACTCTCTTTAATAGTTCGTTTTCTCCAATCACTTTCATAAGTTAATTTTTCTACCCTATCGAATCAAATGAATGTGATTTCGAATTAGCATGTTGTGCAATGGCTGACGTTAATGTATTTTTCCTTCTTGAATGAATTGAACATGAGTAGAATTGAAGGTATGTGTCATCCTAGTATATTCTCAGCTCTATGTAAACACTTACACACTTACTCTCAACGACTTATTCGTAATGTGAAACGGAAACGGACGAGTAATATTAGTGATGATGAGAAGGAAGCTATAAAATCATTGAAAAATATTACAAATATTGTAATTTGTCGTGCGGACAAAGGAAATGCGATAGTAATTCTGGATAAAAATGACTATATTTCGAAAGCAGAATGTCTATTGAATGCTAAACAATTTAAGAAAATCAAAACGAATTTAGTCTAAAGAAGGGAGAAGGAATTAAACAAATACATTCGAAAATTATATATGGACGAATTTCGAAACTCAACGAAAGTAATAATCAAGTATTATGTTCATTTGACGCCGATAGTCTGTTTATCAACGTACCAATGAATGAAACAATTAAAATAATTTTAGAAATGATCTATAAAAATGGAAGACCAGCAGACGTCCCATTTGAACGTGAACAGTTGAAAGAGCTATTGAAATTATCTGTCAAAGACGTGCCATTCCGTTTTATAAATAAGTATTACATACAATGTGATGGAATCGCTATGGGATCAATCACCCCTATCTCTGATCTTTGCGGATATCTTCATGCCTAATCTAGAACTAAAAAGTAATCAATTCTCAACTAACAAACCGTTAGTGTGGCTGCGGTATGGTATGTCGATGATGTATTTTGCATTTTCAAAACTACACAGAACATTCTGGATTTTCTGATAAGGATAAACAAATGGCATTAAAATATTAGAGAATATGCAAACTGTTGTTTTTGAACGGTCTTTCGTTCATTAAAATTAAAGGAAAAATTAAATTAGAATCTTAATTGACAATCAGCTCACGAACAAGTTCAGCTTTTCATAAACCTCGTACAATTCTCTTCATGTTACACCAAACGTTTTTTAAAAACAGCTCACCTAAGGTCAACTATTTCCCAGTGAAGAGTCGGGATTATATTTCAATACAGTTTGCAGTGTATCAGTATAGAATTTCTTTTATTACAATTTCTGCGCTTTTTGCTGGTCGATATTTCACCGGAGACTTGCCACTACTCGACTACGTTATGGAAAAAAATGATGAATCTTGACTACTATTGTTGAGCGAATTTTGTACGAAGTTCTAGTGGTATGAGAGAAATAAAATGCTGATAGTGTAAGAAAATGACAGTGTTTCATCTGAATTTATGTACCGAGCATATTTTTACTCCAGTTTGCATCTAAATTCTTTAGCATGCTCTTAAGATCATTAATGAGAATAGTATTTCTTTTTGCGAAATTTAATATTTAGTTTCAAGCTATGAAGCAATCTTATATTTTTACCTGCAATTTTAAGAACTGTCGCAACAGCTTTCATCATTTTTTCCGTAACGTAGTCGAGTAGTGGCAAGTCTCCGGTGAAATATCCGGTGAATATGTTTTGGTTGATAGGTGGAACAGCACTCATCCATCTTGTGTAGATTTTATGCTTTTGTTCTACATAAGGTTATAATGGTACATATGCACTTAAAAATGTGTAAAATCGTTTTCTTCACAAAACCTGACCAAAATTAAATTGAAAAAGCAGTGGACCAAAATCGAGGAAAATCGGCTCCCTCATTTTAAAATTTTATAAATTATATTTTTCAGTTGAAAAATCTAGTTTAACGAATTTTGAAAAATTATCCTGGCGCTCCGGGCACTAAAAAACTGGCCCTGAAAATCTTTATTTTTTCGACTCTTGAACTCTTTTATTCGAAGTCGTATATGAAAGTGCCTATGTTCTATGAGTTTCAAATTTTCTGGACACTTTCTCCTGGCGCAGAAGAAAAGAGAAAGCATAGTCAAAATTTGAGCGCCTGTTTCTACGTGATGCAGCACCTTGGTATTTCGAAGTGTCCTCTGTAATTTGGCACAGTTAGAAGAAAATTTGAATGAGGAGGGGGGCCCTTAAACAAAGCGAAAGACGTAAAGAAAAACTGTTACATTCATTCCTATTATACAGTAAAAATGAAATTAATGTAATTTATTTTTATACCATTCCTTTGTTCCACTCCTTTTTTCCAAAGTAAACAAAAATCAGTCATGAAAGAGAATAAGCGAGTATGAAAAAAAATCAGCTAAAATCACGATAAACAAATTTAACTATATTGAAAAAACAACCTTTTCATAGTTTCCCTTCAACAACAGAACAAGATGGATGAATAAGTATGATAGCAAGATAATTGTGACTACTTGTTTTAAAAGATTTTTTCTACAGCTTATATCAAAATTCGGAGTCAATCGCATTTTGCATCCATCGATAAAATGCGTCGTAGTTGTCAAAGGGTCTGAGATTGTCTTATCCCGCACTGTTCAAGGCCAACCTTTTTCTTTGCAATAATTACGAACTTCTTCTTCTAACTGATCTTTGTTTAAAAAGATATTCGAGCGTCCTCTTTTCCGGAAGGATTCTAATGCATCATCATTATCATCACTGGCACCTACAAGTAATATGATTATTCTATTCTAATACTTTGATTTTTAAATTCAGTGTGCTGTACGTTAAGATACCTATCTGAGTTAGGCGACCTACTCGAGCTTCGAACCCGACAATCATCGTTCTTTTTCACACAAGAATCTTCCTCTTAACTTTGAGCGCATTTTTCAGCTTTATTACCTTCTTTATCGGCTGATGTTGTGCGTGGCCCCTTCAAAACGTGTTTTGTGCCAGCGGATGATGTCGACGACAGTCCTTTGTATTCTAACAAAGAGAAACTAGCCCATGCATTTTATGTAGATACGGACCAGAGATGGGTAAGTTAGGTCTAGAGGTTTTTTAAGTCAAGTCAAACCATTTTCGAGTCGATTTTTCTTGAGAAAATTCTCACATTTTCCAGCAGCGTTTGACCATACAAACACTCTCTTCGCTTTCTGAACAATCTCAATCCTGTCCAATCCAAAAAGACTTTAAGTTTATTTTGCAAAATAAATCCAAAATGACTTGACTTGGGTTTTTTAAAATGATCCAGCCAAGTCGTCCGTTAGACTATTTTTATCCAAGTCAAGCGAAATCAAGTCAAAAATGGCTTGACTTGACTTGACTTGCCCATCTCTGATATGGACTGTTGAAATGTTGTATTACCGTTATCAGTATATAGATACACCTTTTCTTTGAGACTGCCATTATAGAACGGTTGTTGTCTTCCTCGTGAAACCTCGTGAACTTCGCGCATCACGTCGTACAGGATATCGTGAATCGTTTCATTCGACCGCACAATGTATCGAAGCAGATACTTTGTGAACAGACCATTCTCTTCCAACTGATTATCACTCGCCGTTGTGCCCTCTTTGCACGCATAGACAATGAGAGAGCCGAACGTCGTAGGCATTTGCTTGAATCTTCCTCTAGGCATAAACTTGTCTTCTACGCCTGCTGCTGGTCCTCTCCTGCCCGGATCGGGCAGATCTCGATGCCGAAATTCATACACACGGCAACAGTCTAGAAAGAAGATTGTTGCAAACGAATCTCGAGCCATCATTGCTTCTAAGACCAATTGTGCATTGATAGCACGCTTGGTCATATTTTCCTTTGTAAGATTTCGATTGTTAGCAGGCAGTAAAAAGTTTTGATCCTAGAAGACATGAGACGTTTTTAAAAATGGAAGCTAAGAAGAAGGATTTACTTCCCATTGTACAGCGTGTCCAGCAAAGAAGAACACCACCAAATCCAGGGGTTTGAGTAAACGTACAAAATCGTCAATATCACGTTTGAGTGGAACATATTTTTTGTTCTTAGTCGAAGTGACTGTAAATCCAATTTCTAAGAGAGTATTGGCCATGGAGTCAGCATCGCGAACGGGATTAACTAGCTTCGGACGACCATAGTTCTCCTCGTAGTTATCTATTTCGATGACTAGAGCCAGTTTACGTTTGGGCATTGAGACACTTTTTGCCATAACTACACCTAGTGTGGCTGTAATAGAGACCAGGCTGCTTTTTTCAAGACTTAGCCAAAAACAGAAGTTACTTACCTTGTCAAGTTGCGACAACTCACTTTTCTCACTTACTTCTGAACAAGATCCGTCGAAAAGGACAATTTATTTACCTTATTTTGGTTCTGTCACAACACTCAACAAATATTAGTCTTGTTACCTATACCTCCTTTTACTTCTTCTACGTAATTTGAAAAAAAGCTTTTTAAAAAAAAGAAGAAAACATATATGAACTAGAATCAAATTCGAAAAAAGTCAAAAATTAAAAATATTAAGCAAGCACAAATCAGAGTTTGTAGGTGATCAGAAGTGTTATGTTTTGGTGATCATTTCGATAAAAAGAAATTTGGTGATCAAAACACATTTTTCCCTTCGAATAATGTGTAATAGAGAGTTTATTTTTCGAAACAGAAAAGTAGATAGATTTGCACGATCCGAGGGTCAGTGTGCGCTTTGGCACCAAATCCGAATAAAGTAGTTTTAAGAAATTAGAGTGTCGCCAAATTGCTGTAATTTTTTAAAAATTCTCACAACATTTTTCGTTTTTTTTATAGCAACTTGTATTTTCAGGATTTCTCATCTGAAACTTAGTCAAAAAAAATTGCAAATTCGTGATTAGCATTTAATGATGTATGATTCGATGCTAATCTTTTGCATTTCCGACACCTTACCCGTGCAGAACAACCCTAGTAAATGTTTAAATTATCTGGTCTTGAAATATTGAAACATTGAAATATTATGTTATAGACGCCTGATCTTGGGTCAGATCTACTTGATATCTGAAAAAGCTCTCTGGTAAATCTTCACTTCTTTAATTGCAAAACATTAAACAAAATAAAAAGAGTTAGAATTCTAGAAAAGAACTATAATGATTATGTGCTTACAAAAAAATTTCAAAATATCATTTTTTGATTATAATAAAGGAACGAAAAAAACTTTTCACTTTTTATTCATAGAAAGAAAGTTTTGTATTTATAAATATGGCTTGTATTTCAGCGTCAAATGGATTATCCAAATCTTGACTATATTCTCGACTATCACGATAATTGCAAATTATTAAATTTCTTATTTGTTGACATATTACATATAAATGTCGATCGTCATGTAAGTGATATTTAATTTGAAATAATAAATAAAATGATATTTCTAATTCTTTTATATATGGTGTTAATTGAAAAATACGTTTTATAACAGGGTACTTGATATCATAATCTTCATGAAAAAATAATAACAGTAATGATTCAGTTGTATCTAATTTTATATTCTTGTCATACAACATATTACTATCTATATTCAAAGGAATCGAGAATCTTAATTCATCCATATTTCCAAACATTTGTTGAATCAATTTAAATAAATCTAATGATAGTAGTGCTTTATCATAAAAATGAATACATTCAACTGCATCCATTAATTCACTATTAATATTCATCGTATTTGTACGATAATTTAAAAAATCATTAGACATTCTGTTTAAATGAGAAAATAAATATGGCAATGATGATATTGTCTGCTCCGCATTATTCAAATTCTAAAAATAAAGTATAGGATGTCCTAGCCAATATTTTGTTTGAAATGTTTTAATATTTATATCAACATCAACTTGATCATCAAACCAATTAAGATAAAATTCGAATGTTTTCAGTTTTTATAGTGCTGTTAATAGATTCATTTCTAAACATTGACCATCAATGACAATACTGACTTTTAGAAAAAAAGTCTTAAATATTCAACAGAAGAATAAAATTGTGATAATAATAATTCAATATGATTATACATAATTTGATATACCATCTAAGATCGTTTTTCTGGCAGACTTTCTCTGAAAAGAAATGCAACCTGACATGCTCTACCTGATGAGCATAGTAAGATTCACCCCGCTGAATCTTTTGTATAAAGCGGGCGAACCTTTGTGGAGATACCTAGCACTACGGATTGGATAGTTCTTCAAAGTCATTGTATCGGAGCCTTCTCAAACTCTAAAGTACTGAGAAAATATTACGTTCATACACAATCGATATAGCTCTATCAAACGTACGACTCCGATTTTGTTTATTTGAAACTTTTTATTATCGTGTTTTTTTCTCAAACGGTACAATGCCCATGCAATTTACTCATATGAATGAGAGTTCTCAAGTTGTGATATCCCACGAGGTACTTTCGAGTGAGCAGATTTGCATGATCTGACCGTCGATGTTTTTCAAAAACTTTCAAATACTTTTTGAACGAAAGGGAAGGCATATCCAGCAGATCAACAACTGTTTGTTAGAAGGATCATTTTATAGTTCTTTAAAATCAGAGAAAAATTCGGAGAAATTATTCAAAAAGCAAGAAGAGCGAGTTGTCGCTTAACTTCTTCCCAACATCGCGAAAACTATAAATCATTGCTCAAAACAGATGTGCTCTCATAGTAGTAAAGCAGTCAAAAGTTAACAGTTATCATATTTAAACAAAATTTTGAAAACATAGATAAGAACCATGATGACAATAAGTATTTCGAAGCTCGATCAAAGAGTCTTGATATACCATCTAAGATCGTTTTTCTGGCAGACTTTCTCTGAAATGACTTCTCATCAACCCCTGATTAGTCCTTAGTTGGAGCAGATAAGACAACACAAATCAGCTACGACAATTTCCAGCTATTGAAATGCTGAGTTATTCTCTCTTTTATCATAACGGGTGGCGCAGGATAAAACGGCCACTTTTATTCTTTGTTTTCGAGGCACTGCCCAGTAGTCCAAAGAGTTGGTTCTAGGCTTATCCGATAGAGAACTGAATTTGCTACAAACCTGCTATTTCAATCTCTGATAACATTTTTCTCATTCGAGCATCATTCAAAATATTGAATGGTCGAACTGGTCGATTATTGTCGAACTGTGACACACTGAAAATAGAAAAACATTCGTCTTGATCTAAAAATAGATTCTATAAGAATTTTGGAAATATCAGATGACTCACCAGAAAATTCTGCATTGTCTCACACACTTTTCGGATAGGGGGAGGGATCTAAAAGTAACTGAATTGTGACTAATTCTCTACTGAGCGAATTGGCAGCGATTCGACTGACGAATCGCTCTATTGAGAATTACAGTCGATTCGCGATAATTTTTAGACCCATTCCCTCTGTCTGCTTCTTAATCTGCTATGACCTTAAGTGTGAAATATCGCAGATATTTGATGTTGTTTATTTGAGAAAACAAATCTTCTGCCGGAAGACTTTTTCTGAAACCTAGAAATTCTCGAAAAGCTGAATGTTTCTTTTTTTGCAGACTTCATCATAATCTAAGTTACGTGACTGTGATTTTGTTAGAATTTAGTTGTAAACGGAGAACGTTTTTTCGTGAGGAGTGCCTAGTTTCACAAAATGGCAATTTCATCGGTATACAATGGTGTCGTCGCTCGCCAATAGACATTCTTCAATTCACGAATGTCTACGAGATATTCACCAATGTCGTGTGAACATTCGCTAATAGTTTAGGGATATTGTCGAAAGTGGCATCATTACTGGCGAATGTGTTAGGTAGAGATTTTTAACTCATTACAAATAAGATTCCGTTGTAGTATAATGTTTACATTTTCTCTATACCGTTCTGCATACGTCATTCCATTCCCTCTCGTGAGCATAGTTTTCGTTTTTCTTCCCTTTTCTGTATTTTTCGTTAACTTATATGTACGTGTATTCTTCTCATTCTGTGTGTGAGAGTTTGTAAGTAAAACTTCATGTTTATTGGAACACTATCTATTAGGATCAAGCTCCATAACACAAGAACGAATCAACAACCTAACATTGGTGCACTAGCCAATCTCTGATACAAACAACATCATGATCCGAGACAAACCGAGCCGCCTTAGAGACGTTATTCAAACTGGTACATGCACGCTCCATCACCGACTAGCAAGCGAAAGCAAATCTTGCTCATCACCAACAACAAAAAGCAGACAAACACCAGCAGCGTCAACAACAATCAAACATGACCAATTTATCTAATCAGATTGGCATTGGTTTAAGATTTTTCAGAAAACTTCTGAAAAAACTCAAAGCATCAGTGTTCTTTTAGAAAAAACTTAAAAGGTGCCATATATTGTTGATCACGCCGAAAAAGTGGTCCAGTAGAACACTGATGCTTTGACATTTTTCAGAAGTTTTCTGGAAAATCTTAAACCAATGCCTGACTGAAATCCACATTTTTCGTCTTCGATTATGCTTTACGAACTGTCCTGAGCGTTTCCTGAAATTTTTGTTAGGTCAGCATGAGATTTGATCGAGATATAAGGATTTTAATTAAGACGATTAAGACGAAGAATTTTAAATTAGTAACAGGCAAAAAACCGGTTTTTCTCAAAAGTGCTTCTGGCGAAGTTATTTTCATTTCTACACAAAAAACAAGAGTAACGTCCGGACTATGTACGTATGCAAAAAAATTACTAACATTGTGTGTTAGTTTTGTGAGAACGGAGTTGCTTTTCTAAAGATGCTCTGGAAACCGGATCTTTGAAATTTTTT